TCGTGAGCAAAAAGGAAATAAATAAAATAAATAATTAAATTAAATTAAACCAAATAAATTAAATTAAATTAAGTTAAATTAAATGAATTAAATGAATTAAATGAGATCAATACAAGTAATTAATTAAATAATTAAATAATTCATCAACTTAAACTAAAAAATTAAAGAAATTATTCTTTTGCACCTTTAGTACTTTTGAAGAAGTCTCAAAGTGAAATAAAATGAAATAAAAAATTATACGAGAAAATAAAATAAAACGAAGTAAAACAATTTAAAAATAAAAATAAATTAAAATAAATAAAAATAAATAAAAACAAATAAAATTGTTTTGCTTTTATTTGCAGCTTTTGCCAAAGTTCTTTCCGCCGCGCAAATCATTGTCACCAGTAAGCAGCAGCAGCAGCAGCTCAAGCAGCAGCAGCAGCAGCAGCAGCAGCAGCAGCAGCCCAACCAGCAGCAGCAGCAGCAGCAGCAGCAGCAGCAGCAGAAGCAGCAAGCGGGAGAACTAAAACCCTAAAAAACAAATCAGCATTCCATTATCATTTAATTTAATTTAATTTAATTTAATTTAATTTGATTTAATTTAAATTAAATTTAATTATTTTATTTAATTGTTTTATTCAATTTGTTTTTTGAATTTGCTTTTTTCAGAAGCGCCAGAACTCGAGAAGACCCAAAAGGAATTTTCGAAGTTAAAACAATGCGTGGAAAAAGGCAAATCAAATTAATAAAATAATAAATAAATAAATAAATAAATAAATAAATAAATAAATAAATAATAAATTAATAAATTAATAAATAAGAAATAATGAAAATAAATAAATAAACAAATAAATATATGAACAGATAAATAAATATACAATCTAAATAAGTAAATGAAAACAAATAAATAAATAAATAAATCAATAAATATATGAACAAAAAATGAATAATTAAATGGATGAAAATAAATGAATAAATAAATATTTAAGTACATAAATAAATAAATCAATACATGAACAATTAATTAAATGAATAAATAAATGAATAAATAAATAAATAAATAAATAAATAAATAAATAAATAAATAAATAAATAAATAAATAAATAAATAATTACTTTTATGTTCTTTTTTTGTTTTCAGCGCAAGCGGACACCATCGAGCAGTTCGCATTAATTCCAGAAAGTCCGAAAAATAAATAAAAGAATTTAATTTAATTTAATTCAATTTTAATAACTTAATTTAATTTAATTTAAATGGATTTAATTTAATTTTATTCTATTTTATTTAATTTAAACAATTTTATTTAATTTAAATGAATTTAATTTAAGTGAATCTGTCGATTCATTTATCTATTGAGCATTTATTATCTATTTATTATTTGTTCATTTATTTATATATTTATCCATTTATTTATTTATCCTTTTATTTATTTATTTATTTATTCATTTATTCATTTATTCATTTGCCTATCTATTCATTTATTTATTCATCTACTTAATCTATTCACTTATTTATCCATTTACTTATCTACTTATTTATTTATCCATTATTTATTTATTTATTTATTTATTTATTTATTTATTTATTATTTATCCATTTATTTATTATTTATTTATTTATCTATTTATTCATTATTTATCCATTTATTTATTTATTTATTTATTTTGAATTAAAATGATTTTGTTTTTGTCTTTTGCAGTGCTGCACTTCGACATGCAAGCGGGTGTCTGCGGTGAGGGAAATAATTTAAATTAAATTATATTAATTTAAATTAATTTAAAAAATAAATAAATAAATAAATAAATTAATTAATTAATTAATTTAATTTAATCAGTTTGATTATATTAGTGGACTTAAATTAAATTAAAGCTGATTAAATTATTGTCTTCGAAATACAACAAATATCTTTATGGCTCACTATTCAACCCTTAGGGTTTAGGGTTTAGGGTTTAGGGTTTAGGGTTTAGGGTTTAGGGTTTAATCTGCAAGCTTGTCGGGTTTGAAGAAACTGAAGAACAAATATGACCTGGTGAAGCGCGGTGAGTTTATAAAACTTTTTAATTTAAAAAAAATTTTTTAATTCAAAAATAAAAATAAATAAATAAATGAATAAATAATGGAATGAATTAATTGTGATTAATTACAATGAATTCTTTCTAATTAACGTAATTAATTCACTTAATTTAATTAATCTGATTAACTGATTTAATGTAATCAACTTAATTAATTTAATTAATTAAAATACATCAAATGAATTCCCAATTAAAACAAATTTACTTGGATTGTGTTTCCAACTGAAATATTCATTTAATTAAATAAAGTTTTCCTTTGAAGTTAATTAAATTATTTTTCAAATTAATTAAATTATGAAGTAATTTAAATTAATTGCATTTAATTGAACTAAAATATTGCATTTAATTAAAGCGATTTATTTAATTAAATAGAATTACTTTTAATTAAATAAAACAATTTACTTAATCGAATCAAATTAGTTTTATTTTTAATTAAATAGAACTG